TTGTCTATATTCTGTCATCGATCTGCCCACGAAATTGCCTATATTGGTCGTTGCATGCCAGTGTGGGCGGATGGGTGTTCGAAATCGTTTGAATTAGTCGATTCATCTTTACCCGCATGGACGGGTTTTTCCGGTGAAATTCGATAATGTGTACAGTTGCATTGACCGAAAAAAAGATAAACATAATATATTTTGTTATCATATTATTTTGACACGACGTAATCGCTTATAGAAAAACAATGCGGGGTCACGTTAAAAAAAATTATAATAATAAAAACACGTCATAATATACGCACATGAATAATGTATAATATATATTATAATATTATGGGGGTAATCGACCGACACTAAAATACATCGCACGCTCCACACACGGTAAAGAGTTGTTTTTTGTTATACACAAAAACTTTTTTTTAACTAAAATATTACACATACAAATATAATATTATTATTATTATTATATGTATAGTCGTCAAAGTATTACAATGGATGTACTGTTGACACTGTAAAAACGTTAAAGATGGGTCAGCGGTGTATGTAGTATGTACATAGTTTCCGACTGCAGGGGAATATGAGTGGAGTGACGGTGAAGTAGAAACAGTTGGAATCGATAAAAAGTTTCGGGGGGCGTATGGGACTCAGTCGTTGTAATAAAGTCGCCAATTTTACTTATATAATATAGGGTAACCCGATGTGGCCAACTTAATGATCAGTACCGACAAAAATGTTTGTCAGTTGCCAGTTGCCACACATTTATACTTCGTATTTGAGTCGTCCTTTTGCTATTTTTTTATTGCTTTTAAAAAATTTTTAATAGATTATATACTTTAAATTCTATATATTGTATTACAATTTACATTACCTTCATTATTATCTATTTGTTTCGAGTATTGCTCTTACGGTCACGAATTTTTAGACAGCGAATTTAAACATATTTCGTAGAATTAAATAAACTACAACTATTATGCAATCAATTAAATTTATCAATATCACGATCCGGACTAAAATAATATTTAGTTTGTTTATTTGGTCATAAACGAACTGTAATATTTTACAAACGCATTGCATTCCTTTTGCATTAATAAACGTTGTGGGTATGTAAAATACTATTAGGATCATTTTCCTCACCCTATCATATTATTTTCTTTTATGTCTTCTCTGAAAACAGACATTCTTCTTACTTGTAAAATTCCAAACATGCCATTGACTGCATTGTTCTATTAACCCATCCCCGAGTATCAGAGATTTTATTTCTAAAACATTTTAAATCACAAAACCAGAAATCTATAAAATTACTTTAATCATTCTATATATTATATACCTACATATCAAAATTAAATTTATATTATATACACAAATAAAATAATTGGCAATATAATATAAGATATAGGTATTTTTTTTTAATTTTGGATATTACATGCAAATATGTGATATTCTATAGATACACATTAAAAAAAGAAGATATATTAGTTATCATTTATTTACCACTGTTACTTTATTTTACTCAACTCAAAATTAATTATAAACTAACTAATTATAAACTATACTGACAAAACAGTACTCTGAAAGTCTGAAATGAATGTATACGAAATACTTTATTAGAAAATACATTTAATATTATATTAGTTTTCATATAGAATTATTTGAGCTTAATTAAAATTTAAAACATTTCAAAAATGAATTTATTTCTAATAATTCTATAAATAAATAATTTTTAGCTTTTAAAAAAAAAAATAAGTGGCGTATTTAGGATTGTTACAAAGCAATATTGAAATAAAGTTTTGGAGGTCAACATATGTTTTGTTAGGTGTGCCGTGTGCATAAAGTTTAATTTTTAGTTTAGATTTAAATTTTTTTTTTTGCCATTATGTAGGTATGTAGTATTAATATTAATACTTCACTAACATAATTCATATACTAAATAAAATTAAATCTAGTTAGTCTTCTGTTTTAAAACATAATTCAATCACGTCATCTTGTGTGATTTCTAGTTTATAGTAGGTACCACTCGGTGGCTTGCCAATAGGGCCAGTTTATATACATTTTAGTGCGATAAAGAACACCATAAATTGTAAAATATATTACAGTTACAATTAAGATAATACGCTTGAGTGATAAATAAAATGTAAAACCTTATAGAACAAAACGTTTTCATTATCATACTATCAAGTGTCAGTGGTGTTTTTTGTTGTGTTATTGGAATCTGATTCAATTACTATGCTGTGTTGGTGTGTTAAAAACAATTAATATATTATTATAACATCATATGAATTTTAATCAAGTCCTTATTTTGCCTAATTTTATTTAAAAATAAATTAACACATGAATGAACTTCTTTTAAGTTTTCAGATCCAAGAAGATAAAATTTGAATATTAATTCAAGAGTATAAACCACATTTTTGAAATTCTCACTAAATCCAAATATTGAAATATTAAAAAATGAATTAAACAATACTAAAATTAATTGTTACCTTCTATGTCAACCATTAACAAACAGTTATTTTCAGTAATACAAATAATCAATAATAAATATTTAGAAATTTAGAGTGTATATAGTGTATATTTACATGCTCTTGGTTTGAGGGTGAAAAGTAACATAAACTTTCAAGAGTAGATAAGTCGTTAACCACCTTAGAAAAATACTGATGAATATTATTGACTAAACTTACCAGTCAATTTCCATAATGACTGGTGACCAACGGCATTACTGACGTCGCCTATATATAGTCGTTATATACTTACATTGCAGAGTTCCGTCATTAACGCTAAATGTATATGAATAGTCAATAGGTATGAACGAAAAACACTATTTCCAAGATTCCAGATGACCTATTATAATATATTTCGGTGGTACCTACCTTCAGTAAAATGATATACGTATAGATACATAGAATTATGTACGTATATTAATGTTTTATAATATTATAATTTATAACTACAAGTCATTATTATAGTCGCCACCACAAGCCCACAAAAACAGAAAGAAAAACCTTTTTTTTTCAGATATTTAATTAATGATGATAACAATCCTAACTATTTCAATGAAGAATGTTTAAACTTCAACACTATTTAATCACTACAAATGTTTAAAATATATACTTCTGAAAAATCATTACTTAAATATAAAATTATTTTCCAACCAGGTCTAAATTCAATTATTGATACATTTAAACAATATCTAATCGCGTTTTAAAAATATCTCAAGATAGGTACTTCAAATTATATTAACATTTCCAGTTTGTACTGAAATAAATGAACGATTTTTTTCATCACTTAAAAGAATAAATCAATCAATGTAAGATGTTATCTTAGGCGTTAGAATCTCAAGAACCATAGGTTTTTTAACAGTAGAGAATTAAAACACTAACAAAATAAACTTGAAAGCACTAAATGGATTTTCTAAAATGATAAGCAGAAGGTGTAAATAAAAATAGCACAATACCTATGGTATTCTAGTACAATTTTACCTTCTATTTAAATAATATTAATAGTATGTAGGTAACATTAATTTGCAATATAAGATATTGCTTTAATTGGAATTATATTTTTTTTAATAATAAATTTAGGTTTAGGTATTAGTGAAATTTTATAATTATTATTAATAAAAAATATATTGTATTGGATAAATGTACCTAATAAATTAATATAATTATTATAGATTAATGTACACCAAAATATGAAAAAAAGTTATAAATTAACTAACCTAAAATTTTGACGCTGAATAAAATACATGTATTTAGTATTTAACATGATGAAGAAAAAGTGCCATTACGATAAAAAAATTGGCGTGCTTAAGTTTTGGCACAGCTATTAAAAATCACAAATGGCACCACTGCTCTAAAATGGTTATTTTCTGAATAATAACCAAATTGATTTTGTTAAAAATGGGTGTGGTAAAGTCGTAATGTTTTTCGCGATTTTTTATTTGTGTTTATAACTATTGGTGTATGATAGTCGATAGCAGAGTACAAAGTGCATGCTATAAGTATATACATAATTATTAATTAATCAACTATCGAAAAATAGGTTTTAATTTTTATGGAAAAATAGTACATCACACATTCACACGGTAAAGATTATACAACAAAAAAACGTAATAAACAATTATATTTCTGGTGTCCAGTTCAGTTCAAAATAATATTAATAACTGAAATAATAATGTAGGTATCTTACTAGGTAAAATAATAGGAATATTATAAAAAAATGTATATAAGTACAATTTTAAAATGAGATATATATATATATGCATTATACCTATGCCGATGATACATTTGACTGACATATAAATAAAATATAAGGATCACCTATTAGATTCTGAGCGGAGAGAGGTGTTTATTTTTTTTTTTTTTTTTTTATCCGGTATACAAAATTTTTACCAGAAGGAGTGCATCCATTTCAACATATAGATATAGTACCTTATCTTTTAGAAAATTGGATCAAGATTGTACCTACTTTAGAGAGGTCATTTTTTGATTTTCTCAATAGTTATATAATGCCACTGGAAAAACCACCAACAATTTACGAAAAACCGCTAAAATGGTAATTTAATTTATAACGTTTTGTTTATCACCATAGAAACGAATACAAAATAATAATATTATAATACTAGTTCAACTTACATGATATAATAAATAATAACAATATAAAATATCCAGACTGACAAACCGTCTCCGCTTAGAATCGTTTTTCTTATGCAATGATATTATATCATTGAATTCAAGTTTAATACAATCCATTATACAATGACCCACTTGTAACCTACTGTACAGCAGAGCGACATCCAATTACCCGATTTTTTTTGTATAATTGTATATATTTAAATACATATTGTTAGTAATTTTTAAGATGAATTAAGTACCTACATTGTAACCTATATATTTATAAGCCATATAAATAGGGATACATCGTAATAGTTATTACTTATTTTATTTAAAAATAACTTTTTTCATAACGTTTTATAGGTATATGTTATGTTCTAGAACGTACTGCGTGCCCCTCATATGGTTGGACAGAGGAGGCCAAGTAGATCATGTTCAATATTGATATGGGGTGGCTTTCTATTGCTTTACGCCGCGTTAACCGCAATCATAGATTGTACTCAGAGCAATGGGACAAGCACGACAGTTATTCCATTGTCGTCCAGTGTCAAGCAATCTTCATCCGCAGACCTAGTGACCACGGATGATACTTACGCGTCTGGTGACGGTCAAACAATTCTTCCGACACAATCGTTACTTCAAAATGAAAACCAAACTACGGAAAGCATTTCGGTATCTATATTTATTATTACGATAATATTTCAGTTGTTAGGTAGGTATTTAAAAGTTAAAAATGTATAATTTTTGATCACTTTGACATATTTTAATTTGTGTAGTTAATTGAGTAGGTATATAAGATAAATTAAACGAATATTAATTATTATTTATTTGTACTAAAATATAATACACTAGTTTAGGCTATAATATACAGTTATAATTTGGCTTATAAAAAATCAATATGATATATACGTATATATATTTTTTAATTTTATCAATATATTATGTACCGTATTATGATAATTGAATATGTATGACAAACATTACAACTAAATACCATTTATAAATGGTTCTGTAGAAAAATCAATTAGAAATGCTCAAATACCAATATAATACCATCAATTGTAATGGGTGACTGTTTGTCGCTCTAATTACTTTTTTAATTACAGCGAAATACCCATATTGGTGTTTACACGCTCGAATACCACTAAAAATTGTTTCCAACCAAAACTCCCAATGCATAATATCCTTTAAAGAATAAAAATACGTTAGATACGATGATATTTAAGTGCTGAGAAACTAAAAATTAATAGAAAATACATTTTATAACATAATTTAAGTAATATACTATTTCCCATTTCAATATAAATAACAATATTATATAAGAAATACGTACAACCTACTTAAATTAATATTTTTATTTTTTACCATCGAGGCAGATAAATAATAAACATAGGTACTTACACATATACTGGTATGCTTTATACCATCACGATCATAATTCATAATATTATAAAAGATAAATCTACCATACTATCAGTTTTTTTAATGTATAGAAATAGATGTATACAGTGTAATTTTTATGTTAATACAATTAATTCATTATGCTAACTCAATTTTCCCATGTTTTATGTAGAACCAAAAATATTAAAGCTTGAATCAATATTCTTATTGTTATATCTTTTTCCACTTAAATGAAATCGGGACAATTTCTTATTTGAATAGAACTAAAACATGTGCATAATAATTGTATACTGAGTAAGTACCTACACTTGGTTTTTCTTGGGTTTTCCTTGAGTAGATAAGTCCTTTCTCTATTTTAAGTTTTTTACTATAATCTTATTTAATGTTTACCGATCGATATGACCTTAAAATAATAAAACCAAAAACAACGCTTTTAGAGACTGATTCTTTTAATAATGAACACTGATTATTAATTCAAAAATAATGAACTCTTATTGATATTTTCTTTTTAGAAAATTAAAAATACACGCGCAGTTCTAACATTTAAAACTGGCTTGACTTTATTCACCCTTATGCTTGTTAAAGTAACCATCGTTTATAAGCTTTTTATAAATAAATGGCAATTTATAAAAATATAAAAATTAAAAATGTATCTTTTCATTATAAATGTATATACTATATTATATATATACAAAGTCTTCAAATGTCGTGTACCAAAATTGGTGATGATTATATATAATGGTATTCTTACGTGATTCCCATCTGTATTTTTGTCACACAAATTTGATAAGACCCTGTAATAATTTTTTTGTCACGCCTGCACCGAAAGTTTAGTTTTCGATAACATAGTTGAAGCGTTGGTAAGCGATCTTTTTCCTCCCAGCGAGTGATAAAGTAGGAATACCCGTAATGCCGGGTGGTTAAGTGGAAATCAGAAAAAGTGCTGGGAGTGTTTATCACGCTTATCCCCAGCACAACCAAACACTGAAATCTATACCACGGTCCTTACAAATCACAAACAGCTCTATATTGCATAGATCCCTGCAGCCTGCATTACCTTTTACGTGATCACGTGATCGCGTGATCGATGAACTCAGAGGCTTGACAACAAATAGTATATGTAGCTCGTGTGGGAAGGAAATTTCAGTCTTGGGCGAAATGCGGATCTCACCTGCTGCTCGTGCAGCACACGTCATCCGCAACTGAAATAGCTCACTTCCCACCCTTGTCAGTTGCCACACAATATACTATTATATTAATATATCGTAAAATTTGAATTTTATTTTATATAATAAATTGTAATCGCATATGTACATATTTGATTTAAATTAAATAAAAATTTAATTTCCAGGTTCTAAATACAGCTAACACATCAACAATTATTACCGACGAAGCGGCTGAGAAATGCACTCCACCAGCAATAAAACAGTTCCCCAGGCCTTTTATGAGACCCTCGGTGAGACGACGAGGAGGAATATTAATCCACATAATTATATGTATTTATAGCTTCTTAGGATTAGCAATCGTATGTGATCACTATTTTGTAAAGTCATTGGATAGAATTTGTGAAGGTAAATATAATTATATCAGTGTGCCCTATATCTAATACAGTGAAATCTCCCCTATTGGACACCAAATAGCGGACATTTTTTTTTCAAACTATAAGCTTTCTACAAACAGTTCAGTATGAATAGCAGACACCTCCGAATAGTGGACAACATTTCAGAGACCGATAGTGTCCAATATTTTGAGGTTTCACTGTATAATATAATATACATATATACAAAATGCATTTATACTCCATAATTAGATTTTAATTAATGCCTTGCTAAATATTTATCAACTCAATTTCTAGTAAGACTGGAAAAAAGAACATTTTAAGAGTTAAAACATTATGCATCATTATTATGATGTACCTACCTACCTATCGTATTCTTTCAATATTAAACTAAAACAAAGTGCGATTAAAGATACTAAAAATTTAAAACATCAATTTAATGAATATATTTTTAATTGAAAATGGTCATAATTTTCAAATTTCAATTTTTATTTTTTTAGAACTTAAAGTAAGCCCTGATGTTGCGGGTGCAACATTTATGGCGGCTGGTAGCTCTGCGCCTGAATTGGCTACCGTTGTCATTGGTGTATTTCTAGCCAAAGACGATATAGGTGTTAGCGGAGTCATCGGATCTGCCGTTTTCAATATTATGTTTGTCATAGCTGTTTGTGGTTTAGCATCCACAACCGTCACTTACCTCAACTGGTGGCCGCTTTGCAGGGATTCATTTTTCTACACCATAAGCATACTCATCATGCTGTTAGCCATTTATAACGAAACTATATCATGGTATGCATAGTTTTAACTTATAAGCCTATACTTTTATATGATTAAAACGCACAGTTCATAATATTTATAATTTACATATATCTAACACTATAGGATCGAAAGTTCTATGCTGCTTCTGGCGTATGTCGTATATTGTGTGGCGCTGTATTACAACTTGTACTTGGAAGCATGGGCCAATACTTGGAACCTACCATTTCCACCAAGAAATCACGGACAAGTTATTGAATACTCATTGACTTTTTTGTACACGGTACTGAATTGTGACTATATAATATAATATTTTATATTACAGATAAACGAATTGTTTGCGGATCAACAAACATCAGATATGAAAGAAGGCCAAGAACAAATTCAATTGACTGGTACTAAAAGTCCGACGGGGTATGACACTACTGGATCAACAGGAATAGACCAACAAGAACAAAACCAACAGCAGAAAAATCAACAAATACAACAAAATCCAGACTATTATATACCAAAGGTGTATCATGAAGCTGATGAGGTATGTGTACAACAATTTGTATAGGTACTGTATATTTTAAGTATTTGAAAAATTACATAAATATTTTATCATAACTGAATCTAGTTGTGTCCACTATAGGTATATATAATAGTTATGCGTATAATAGACGAAATAATTTAATAATTAAATATTTTATTATAACTATACATGACATAATAATATTTTAGATGATACCTATACATAAGTCATAAATACATATGACTTTCAAAGGTTGAATATTTATTAATATACCAATAAATAATTTAGAACTATTTAAAAATAATAAAATTGGATAATATTTTCATTGTTGCTTATTATAAACTAGGTAAATCCCTTGCTTAAGCCGGAAAATGGAAATATTTTACATGTTATTCAATGGGCCGTTATGTATCCAATTTATTTTACTTGTTATTATACAATGCCGGACTGTCGGAAAGAAAATTTCAAAAATTGGTATGGATTAACATTTGTTATATCTATGCTATGGATTTCTGTGTATTCTTATATTATGGTCTGGATGATCACAGTAATTGGTAAGTTCTACTGAAAGTATTAAGGTACTTATAATAACGTATTTAGAAAAAATAAAATGTGTATTATAAATTATTTTATTGAAACGTTCCTACTCGTATATTAAATTAAATTTAACTCACTGCAGGTAATACACTTGGGATACCAGATACAGTCATGGGACTTACGTTTGTTGCAGCTGGAGTCAGTGTACCAGACGCTCTATCAAGTCTTTCAGTAGTTAAAGAAGGTAAGGTTTAAAATTTAAAAGTGTCTAAATAAAATATAATGTACTAACGTCGAACGTGATGTTATAAAGACATAATAAGACATATTTTTCATTTTTAAAATACTAATATTCTTTTTAATGAGATACTAGTGTAAATACACCGTATTATAGTTCTTAGTTTTACCATGTAACAATGGTTTAATAGCCCGGCACACAATTCTTAGATACATCCAAGGTCTTTAATATTAATTTTAAGTTCATTTTTTAATTCGTCAGCCTGTCTTCTATAGGTTTAATCGGAAATATAGATTTCCGATTTGTGTTAAGTTGATATACATATTATTATACTTATAAGTTATAAGTTATAATATTATAGTATAGGTACTCATTGATTATAATATGTATTTATGCATAGAAAGTTTATTAATTATTTTTTTCAAAATATGCTTATACTTTACAGTTTACACAGTTATAGAATGAAAAAAAATTAATTTCTTAATTGAACCTAGGTATATACATATATTTAAGAGGCTTGCAAATTAAAACTAGTTTTAAAATTAAAAACCAAATAGTATAATATTTTTTTTTTCTGATAATAAATTGCTCTAAACGTATAAAAAATACATGTTTCTACAGCCACTAGTAAAGTATTAACATATAAATGTACGTATGGGGGACGAGGTGGCCGAGCGGTCCAACGCGTCGGTTGCGGCGCAGCCGATCCGGGTTCGATCCTTGGTCACCGGGCGGCATTTTTCTTCGGGAAAGTCACGGTGTCCGGAGAATAAGTGCCGCCATCCCCCACTCCGGAGCATGGCAGAAACCTACGGGTGCCCCATTAGAAATTCTGCCAAACACAACACACACGTGTAATAACCCTACAATTGCAAACCCTACTACCTACAATCATAAAAACCCCACAATCAGCTAATGGCCATAGTCGCTGGGCTTTAAAAGATCAATTAAAAAAAAAAAAAAAAATGTACGTATGTACCTATAATTAAATAACAAAAGTTACTATTCTTTATAATTATATGCTTCGTAAATCAAGCTTTATAAACATATTGCCAAATTTAATTTTAGGTTACGGTGACATGGCTGTATCTAACGCAATTGGAAGTAACGTGTTTGACATATTAGTATGCCTAGGACTTCCGTGGTTTTTGCAAACTGCTGTATTTAATCCCGGGAGCACTGTAAAAGTATACAGTAAAGGTAAGAAAAATATTCCATTAACATTATTGACATTATTATAATTAATTATTGGTAATTATTGGTATTTAATATTTATAATTTTGTTATTTATTAGAATAATTAGACATTTAGTTATACGTTTTAACGTTTAGATCTGTCTTTCTTTATAGTGTATCTATTTTTGTACCTATTATTTGTATGAATTAAATTTTATAGTTACACCCCGCTTGCATTTTATATGCATACACCTTGTATACATATCAGCTATCAGCACATCACATAACTTACTATGATATTATTTTGTTATTATTGTTACAGGTTTAACTTATTGCACATTAACTCTTCTATCGACCGTAGTATTTTTGTTGGTGGCAACGCACATGAATGGATGGAAGTTGGATAGAAAATTTGGAGCTGTTCTTATGTTGTGGTATTTGATTTTCATCGCAATAGCTAGTTTATACGAAATGAATGGTACAATGAATCCACCCAGCTGCTTGACCGACTATTAATGTTATATAAAATATTTAAACAATAGGTTACGTTTAATTTATTAATTCATTTTGGTTTTAAATAAGTTTGTTTTGTATTTTTCGTTCAAAATAACGTTATTCTCCTGTCATGCCTGACAGTTCAGCATCCTGTGATTTTTTTGTATAAGTAATATATTATAAAGAAAATATATTATATTAGGTATAATACATTAAGCTATTATACTTAAATTGCGTATATGCGTTTTCTGGGATTAATGCTGATATTATCTGGAATAATTATTTTTAATTGGACATATTAGAAAACTTATGCCAATGATGTTATCTTTTGATAATATGCTGTCTTCATATTTTTAGTTTTATTTTTTCGTGTTGGACCATTAGTTAAATAAAAGTTATGTTATTATGAATCGCACAATTTAGATTAGTTATAAACGTATAATACCTATATTGTTCTATTACATTTGATGGGGTACGGAACCACGTTTTGCTTTCCAAATTGAAATTTTTGGTTTTCTGTACAATTTTCAAAATTGTTTAAATTGAAATTATGGCATAATTAAAACAACATTTCGTAATTAGTACTACCATATTATTTTAGTTGAAAATATAATATGTATTGTTATTATATCTCCAATTATAATATATACCTAGGTAAATATGTTAACATTGTTGTAATGTTATTAATTTAATATTATTTTGTTATTTAAAAATGTTTTTTTCATTATTGTTTTATTAAAAGGTCTGAATATTATTAATATAAATATTTGCAATAAAATAATATATTTAGAAAACAATTATGATTACCTACTCTAAACTTAAGTGTTGATGCAATTTATTTAACTTCAATAATATCATTAAATAGTATTAAATTATTTATTTGATACTATTATAATCGAGACAATAATTAGTTTCATAAGTCATATATTATTAAATTTGTATAGATAGTTAATTTTAAGACAATGTTATTAAACTTTTAGCTTGTTTATAAACTGTACTTATATAATACGAGTACAGTAGGTATCATATATAACATAATAACTTATAAGTAATTTCTAAACTATAAAATCCATCATATATATTATATATATTACCTACTCTTTGGCCTTAACCATATTATATTCTGCTTAAATAATATTCTTCATACCGTTTTATAATATATCTAATACCTATCCTTGTTGACTATAATTAAAAAGTTTTCTCAATTATTATTTTTATGCATAAGCAGTAAATTGGATTTGTAACCCTCAATTGTTACTTAGTTTTTATTTAATGCTATAATATTTTACTAGTTATACAATAATTATGTTATCATCTTCTATTTTTTAAGTTAGTTATATGACTTATCACTTAACTATATCTATAAAACCTATTTAGTATTTACCTATACGGCTATACAATATCCTATATATACTCGAACATTAAATGTATTATTATTTTCGAACTAACATTAAAACATTATTACCTATTGGTAATGATTATTATTTATTAGACGATACTATATTAGTTTATTAAAACTAATAGAAAGCACAAATACCTATAAAACAATTAACAATCGAACTAATTTTTAATTACTTAATAAATGTTTATAATGCAATAGGTATCCCACGACCACGAGTATATCGAAATGTTAACTACTTTTATGCGTGTTTCAAGTTATCTAAAATTAATTATTATATGTTAATAATGTAAAATATTTTAAAATTTAATATACTATATTACAATTATATATAAATATATAAATATATATACTGATATTCAGTTAGTCATGTACTATTGTTACACAGTTAAAATCCATTTATTTATATCGAAAAAACATTTAAGTAAATATACTGCGTATGTTCATTTTCTTTGACATCCTACAGGCTACACTATAGTGTAATAGATATATAATATATATCTTAACCTTCCTAACCTAATACCCATAGACGGCACTTGACTCTAATTGTCGGGAGGGGGGCAACTGCCCCCCGTGCCCACCACCAAATGTCCAAATGTCGCCTATATTATATATCCCCTATAATATAGCATATATGCTAATACATATGGCTTACAAGTAATAACTAATAAGCTACTTAGCTATGGCGCTATGCCATCTTAAATAATCGAAACTTACTCATCAGTCATCATATTATGATCATGTAATGTATCTCTTTAATATTATCTATCCACGGTGTATAAAATATGATTTGCTAGTTTGTAGTTTTGTACTTTATAGTATTAGAAATGCTACTGCATAACATAATATAAATATAATACCTGCATAATCATATTAGTATTAGTTATGGCTACATCTCATATTCTTATCATCGTTGTCAATTTTTTTTTTTTCAGTGTTGGTATATGATAGTAGGTAATTTTTTTTTGACTCCAAAATTCCAAAAAAAAAAAATCAAACTCAATTATTAAAAGAAACCCATACATTTAAATATAATATAGATTTTAGAAAAGGTCACGGGATAAATATTATTTTAACTATTTATAGATGGGTACATCTACAAGGCACATCGTACATGGCACATGTAATGGCAATAGAATATACTGAATAGAGTTTACACTTTATACAATATATATTATAATTTATAGAGTATAGACGCATGTGAGTGTGACGATATTTGGTTCAACATACAGTATAAACTATAAAGAGCCTGAAAAATAAATTACATCCTGAAAAACTGTCAAACTCAGAATTTATTATATGTTTTAAATTATTCAACATTTTAAGTTTTTATACCGATTTACTTTCATCAAATGGCAATAATGACATATCTTAATTGAAACACACCTCATCTCCATTGACGGTATTTATGCCAAAAAATATAAAATGAATGTGCTACCTAAATATGAATTGCATTTTTTTCAAAATAGGCATGTTGTTTTATAGTTCTATTTTATAATATTAATATTATTTATGAACAGATTGATGACCACAATGTAGAGCGTATGTTAGCCCCACATATGTCATAGTTAAAATTTAAATACACAAAACGTACTTAGGGGTGCCTTGCTAAAAGAAATCTTGACTATTCATCTGGTTTAGTGGTTTAATCTTTTACAACGTTCGTGGTTTATATAATAATTCATATAACTTATAGTGCGAGTGCGTTGATGAAATGCATTCCCTTACTCTTATCCTAATAGTTTTATATTTAAGCATAATACATTTAATTTTCTACTTTCGTAGGAGGGACAGTTTCAATAGAGTACTTTTAATTTTAATACTTATAGATACACATCAGTTCTAAATAAAGATAAGCTAACAATACACAAGTACACAACCACTTACGTCAAACAATCATAATATCAATAATTAAATATAAAATAAAAATTGTATTTTTATTACGAAATGTCGTGATACATTAAGAAAATATTTAAATTTAAAATTTAATAAATTATTGAATAATTTACTTGATGAAACCATGCAACTTCTTTTCTCAGTAAACATTATTTATTAATAATATACTAAAATTCAGCAGGTATATTTCAGAAATTCCTTGGTGAAAATGTACGTTGTCACTTGTCATTCAAAAAAGAAATTAATTTAAAAAATGATAACGATAAAAATTTGTAAGAATATTTTTTTCAAAAATATTGTTTTGTAATGGTTTAAATTTATGTGAAAAAATATTTTCAAAAACTAGAAGTTTTTGGAATAATAATGAGTGTTTTGCGTTAAATGAATCAACTGGTAATATAATCATATATACTCCATAGTATTAACGGACAAATAACTGTGTATAAGTGTGCCTATATATATTTTTCTTAAAACGGCTCCATGGATGGCAAGAATTTCGTCAGAATTTTGTACCTACTACCTAGGTGTTTTTTGATGCAAAGAATTCATCAGTGAAGATCTCAACTCCGAGAAAATTTATATTTTTGAGTTATCTTCAAAATTAGGAGCATAACCTGCATAACTTGGTCGCCTTGGCAATCACTATTATTTTTTTTCTCAAATACAAGTATAAAATACTTGGCTAAGTTTTCAAAAAAAATTTATAAATAGAAAAAAAATAGCGTCAATTAAATTATTTTGTTAAATGATTACTGAAGCGAAACAAGGCATGTTGTGAACAAACAGAATACTTTTTTTTATTGACTTAATTATTGTCTTAATAATATGATTTAAATCATGAGCAAAACTTGTATAGAAAATAATAGATATTTATATTTTAATATTTTATACTAATACTATATTATGTATAATATTATTATCTATCTATCTATTATCATTGATTAAAATATATAAATTGTATAATTAATCAATGCTATTATCTATAGTACCTAAATTGTTTATGTGCAGTTGTGTGCATCATTTATATTTTACGATTTGATAGGATTTTAATTAAAATTGTTATATGTGTATTTATATTATATTTTACAATTTCAATATTTATTATTAGTATTTCTGTAATCTGCATAATAACTATTCAAGATATAGACATTTTTTTTTTTATCAAATTCCATGTTACTTAATTCTATGAAGAATAGAATATTGCAAAGCTAATTAACTGTTGTCATTGCAGATGGTTAATATTTAACAATATTTTATATATTTCCAGTTAATATAAATGACGTGTATATTCCTAAAATGCCCACAGCAAAAAGAAACGTTACAAAGAAATAATATGTTGTTTTAATATTTCAGAATAAATAGTTACAAATATTTAGGTCAATTTTTAATGAGTACCTAAACCTAATATAATCACGGTCCATGGATGATTAATGATTATCTACTGAGGACAGGTTAGAAATCATTTATTGAAGGGAAATATTACATTTACATTTTATTACAGGTATAAGTGTTAAAGTGTGTAGGTTACCTATTGTTATGCAATGTTCAATGTAAAAACCAAATATTTATTTTATTATATAATTTTTTTTCCAATTTTATAAAATATAAAATGTTTAAAAGAAAAATTCCAAGGAAGATTTTTGGACCAGTAAGGGATGAAGAGATGGGTGATTGGAAAGCGTTATTGCGTGACATATCCTCCTTTGGCTTATTTTCGTCATATAAAATATAGTATCTATGATAGAGCAATGAAAGTATATTCACCGATACCTATTATACTATATAACGTGGTCGGAGAATAGTGAAAAATGTCATATTATGCCCCTCCCCCTTACAAAATATCTGAGTATGCCTCTGGACACTTTACAAGAAAATATGCATATAAATATGTATTATGTATTTACCTAAACCTAGTACCTACTTTCAAATTATTACACGATATTATTGTGTTAATATTAGTTTTTCATAATGCGGAAGATGAGGTAACTAGTTTTATGACGTGATTATTATTATTTTTTTATTTTTTATTTTAAAAGCCACTAATCTACTACTACGATAACTTAACAATTGATTACCCATTATAATATATTATTATGTGCAATAAACATAGATTATGTATTTATGTTACATAATAATTGCACACCCGACGAGCGCCGCTTCTTCGACAATAACATACTTTACTAGGTGGAAAAAGGTATACAACTATACAACATTGTCTGTATTTGCTAATTTTATTACAAATTTTACAATATAAGCGGCAATCGAGTTGATACATATCGTTCGCTGTGTACGATTCGTGCCTCGTTGGTGTCGTTTATAAAGCTCAATAAAACATTCCTATTGAAATTTAATAGATAATTCGTAATATTATTATTGTACCTATTTCGCTATATAGCTACGATAGAATTAAAAGAAGTCAAATGACTCAAATTTGAAATGACTCATGAGTAGTATTACTAAATTACTATGTATAATAGTATTATAGGTACTTCGTACTTGTCCTCATTACCATAGATTATAATATATGTGCCATACTGCCATGTGCGAGTAGAGCATAATATATTGTTATTATTATTATTATTATTATTATTATTATTATTATTATTTTGTTGTTTTGATACCATATTATAAATTATAATAATATTATTATTATTGTACAATTGTCTAATATAATTTCTAGCATATTACTATTTACTTTAGCCTAAATTAGCATTTAGCATCAGTGTTTTTGAGATCCGTTCGCAAATTGCAGACGCCTTGTAACTTATAATTCGACAAGTATGGGAAAAAAGATTTCCTAAGCGGCCGGACCTGGCTGCACTGCGCCCTCATATAATAGTATCTTATTATTATTGTTGTTGATAAGTGGGAGTAATAGTGATAATAGAAGTCCTCTTATAATGTCACTCAAAAGGAAGTGGAAATGGTAAAAAATAAAATCGTGATGGTTTTTTTTTTGTTTTAATAACGTTTAGTTAATTATCGCTCGCTCATCTGTTCCGTCCGCTCATGTGTAGGGTTCGGCACGTCGCACGTGAAATAATAGAATTCTATTATAATATTTTAACTCTTTATTATTTATTAATATCAACATTTTCATTTTCTACGGTTATTGTTCGACTACTGTGTTAAGTATTACACCGTTTTATGTTGATAGTATCAACGTATAACTATACTAATCATTTTTTACTACACTGGTGTAAAATTTGACAACGTACCACGAATTAAGATATACCTTATATATCTTAATTCGTGCAACTTACTGAGCTTGATGAATGTTCATCGGCGATATGCTCACCACGAAGGATCATCATTGTATACTGCTTATTGTCAAAGTGCTAGTTATCATATTCTTAACATTAGCCCATATTCAATGTGTTTGCTGTGAGTACCTTAAAACATATTAATTGTATCCATCAGGAGATATCTTATAAGATATATAATAGGTATACTAAATGGTAGGTAATTTATTAAGTTGTAATTAATTTTTCTTTTTATTTCAATTTTATGATATCGTAAAACGTAATCAAACTCGATGCAGGTGCCCAAATAGTCCTATTAAATAGTGTTTGTTATTACTATTTCAAATTAGATCATATTGTTGATTGGATCATTTTACATTTAACAAATATATCATAAGATTTTCTGATTAAATAAAAAAGTATAATGTAGGCACTTGTTATTATCTTATTTTTAGCATATTATCTTAAATCTGATGGTAAAGATATATCATGTGTATTTATTTTACAAGATGTACAGTCTACTGAATTGAGTGCATAGTTAAATTTATCATTTTATTCAATGGGGGATAATTTTTTATAGTTAGTCAGTGTATAATTTTTTTCTTTGAATTACAATGTTGAAGACGTATAATTTACTAATGTGTTATTTAAGTTCAGAAATTACTGCTATTAGTAGGTATTATTGGCATTTTGCCATTGAAAGCTAAATACATGTGTGCTATAGACTATATTCATCTTTGTGATTTTTTTTTATTGTCGACTCCGTTTTTAACAATAGTCTTATGCATAATATCTATGTTCTAATAATATTTGCTGTTTTTAACCGGTAAACACGAGTTTTGCACATTTTTTGTTCAAATTTCCAACTGTGGTATTCTGAGACAATTTAATCGAGTTCCCTTTTTATATTATACCTAATTGGTTTCTGAAATTGTAGATAATATTTTTTTTTTCATAGCATTCATCCCTGAATTATTATTGATATGAAGATCACATTGGGTGATGAGTGATTATTATGATGGGGGAGGAAGGAATACATGGAGGGTTTAAGCCTCCCCTAAAAGTCTAGTCTGTTTACAACACTAATAATACTATTTTATAGATTTGTAAGGTTATAACATTAAATTAAACTGTGGATTAAAGTTATTATTATCATTTAAAAACCTATCTTTTATTTATTTACTTAATTTACATTTGTATTATCAGTGGCATAGCCAGGGAGAGTTTTGGGTGTTTAAACAACCCCCATTGACATTTCCCCCTAATAAATATATTGTTTATAGGGTCTGGGACTGCTTGCATGTTTCATTGTAGTGGTAGTAGGTTATTTTAGATAAGTTATAAATTTGTTTTATCAAACAAAGTTTGAATTTGCAGATTTTTGCATATTGTAGGAAAAATGTACATTTGAGCGATTTTTCGCATATTTGTGCATATTTTAAATTTTTTTAACTTAAATGTAAGTACATACAATTGTTGGGAAAAATCATATTTGGATAACATTGAAAAATATCTTTAAAAATATTATGTTAGTTTAGGTACAATAGGCGCTAATTTTGAGATTTGGGGAAGCCGAAGCCTAAAACCATACTATTACAAAATTTAGTAAATGTTTGGGAGGCCTGTTAAAGTTGTTGGTGGAGTTTGGCTACGGTTGGCCCTATTTTGGCATATGGTACGTAAGACTATAAGTTTTTTGTGATAAGACTGTGTTAAAACTATAATTGACATCTAGATTCTAGATTGTACGAATAAATGAAAATCAGTAGATATGTGTTCGTTTATCACGGTGTTCGCATATCACGTTATTCATTATTAGGTACTTATTTATTACCTAGTATTTTATACCAGCATTTTTAAAAATCAAGTTTTATTTCACAATAGTTTAAAAATATCCAAAACATGCAATAGTGTCCTCCATCATATTAATCAATATAGGTACCTAGGTACCTATATTAAAATTTGTATACCCGTGTTTAAATTATTTTTATCATGTTTATATAGGTACCTACTTATTTTTTAGTTTTTTTATTACAAAAATTGTAATATGTTTTATGAATTTTTCAAAAATAATATAAAAATGTAGCTGCATATATTTAAGCATATTTTGAAAATTTTGACTGCATATTTGACTACCAGCTTTTTATAAAATAATTTGTGTTTATAATACCTTGGTAATTGTTTTATGTTTTGATGACTATGATGACTACCTAATAAAGTTACAAATATTAGATAGGTATACAGTTCAATCCCTACAGATAATATATTGATAGTTTTTAAAAATAATAAGTGATGAGTAGATATAAATGCAGGGGTGGACTAAACCGGCAGGATTTTGGGAACTTTTGCTGTAGGCAGCTGCTCAAAAATAATTTGTTTTTATTTAGCATTTTTTTCTGTTAACAAAATTTTATAAAAACTTAGCTTAACAATTCCTTCAAAAAAAAAAAAAAAAACAACAATTTATTGCTAATACCTAACTGTCAAATTTTTTATTTTAAAATATTAAATAGCATCTGATAAACCAGTGCTATAATGAAAAACAAAACATAAATAATATACCTACCTATCTAAATTTTATTTTATATTCATTTAAAATGGCTTTTCATTTTACTGAAATCTAATACCATTATTTATAATATAATATTATTTAGGTTAACTGGCTAAATCATAATATGCCATTGTGAATTATCTTGGTTTTTTTTTGTGTGTTGGTCATAGACATAACTATAGCCTAGCCATTTAATTGAGTGGGCTCAAGCCCATAGTTAAAATGTTTAACAAAGGGAAGAAGTTGTAGTATTTTAGTATTTTATAATTATAATTTGTCATGAATTTGGGTGGGCTTGAGAGGCTGAAGGGTGGGCTAAGTCCATCCAAGCCCCCCCCCCTATTTACATCTATGGTGTCGGTTGTTCACTGTTCAGTTTTTAAGCATTTGTTGTTACACAGTAAACTATTATGAGTTCTGATACTTAAATTTACATAATCCAGTAGATGAACTGTAAGCACATCTATTAGTTGTACACTGTGCTTAGTGCTGCTTACAGTGACATATCTTAAAACCATGTGATCTATATAGAAATGCTGTTATAAACTGCTGCTTTTCGTAAGAATCAATTCTCCTTTCTCTTTTGTTTTAGTTACAGCCATTTCATGATCAAGATGTTTCTTCTTGCTGCATGAGTTGATTTCTGTCTTGGTAACTTATGTTTCAAAAATACTTTTTCTGTACCTATCCCCCCATCTATCTCCCTACGACCCTACCACTGTTAGACCTCCACTAATGTTAGTGCAATATTTGTTTTCTCTCTCAGGCACACGCTCAAAATAGAAAAACGTTTGAGTAATCTTAGAGTAGAATCTAGGGTTTAGCATATCGGTTTTATATTTTAGTATTAAATATTTGACTTTATATCTATGCGACTTGGCAAAATGTTTTCGTAAATTTAAATGGATATTAAATTGTTTTGAGACAATATTTAGATAAATCGATATAGGTACGTATCATTGTCATACGCATACCCTCAAAATTTAATTTAACTGATAAGGGACTAGTATTAATTTTCAAACTTTAGGTACCTATACATTTTAAACCACAAAATAATTTTCAAATTAATGAACCAATATATTATTGTCTATTAAATTCTAATATATAAATATTCTGTAAAATGTAAAGTCTCTTCTGTTATTTAATTTTAGGTTACAACAAAGAAACAAATAGGTTTTGCTTAAAAATTCACGTTTTGCCTTCATTTTTTTTTTGTTTTTTCCTGATTATTTTGAAAATGGTTAATCATTTTTTTTAGTCTTTCACTTTTAACCCCTCAAAGGGCTCAAAATGCCTACTATATCAAATATTTTACCAAAAACCATCCTCAAATCAAATCATTTTATTAGTCCTAAAGTCGAGTAACACAAAAAAAAATAAAATAAATATATATACAGGTAATTTTAAAATCATTGCATTCATCTCTCCACTCAGAAACTAAATTCTAAAATTTAACTGCGGATAAAAAATTTTGATTTAAGTAATAATGGCAATTTTTCAAGGTCTTACAATTATTATTTTCTTGAATTACAACATACCAAAAATCATTTGAGGAGAAATTATTATTTACAAAAATCAAAATTATTGGTTACGTTTAAATGTTGTATGTATTTGAAAAGAAAGTTTGAATTAATTTCGATCTTACTAATATATTTTTACTATTTTGACATAATATATTATATTATTATGTATACGCTTATATATTTAATGGCATAACTGGCCTGTTAATCAATTCATATCCGCCGTGCTTATTATTTTTTTTTTATCGTTTATTATTATGAATTTAAATACATATTTTTATTCATTACAATAACAAATAAAAGATAAATTAATTACGCTTCCTTTGAGCATTACATTTATAATCGTTCTCTGCACGTGTTGTCGTGTTATAAAAGATTATAATATTTGCGTCCGCGACGATCCGTTTTCAAAGAAAAGAAAATTCACGCTTATAAGGGCTTGCAATGTAATCCGAGCTTGATAGTATGAAAACCACATCTATAATAGACATCCCGCATAACATTGGATATAATATGATATTAAAATAAAAAAATAAAAAAATGATGTATACGGTACACCTACCTATATATATCTTACATAATAAAATTATAAACTATAGTGCGTACTCAACACATTGTTTCTTTAATCTAAAAATTATAGTTTGTTTAAGCTGAACTATGAGTTATGACACTGTGTAGCATTATGATTTATGTTGTAACTGTGTATCGTGAACTTTAAGTCGTTAACTATTTTTGATTCTCAGTTAAGGTATGAATGCGTGACTACGTTTTCAAATTAGTGACATTTATGGCAGTCCTGTAAATTGTAACCACAAGTTACAATAGAAGTATTTTAGATAACGTCCGAATTGGTTCCTAGTATTTAAGTAGACGGACGTTCAAATCGGTTCCTACGTGTATTGAATGAAATATCTAATGCCAATATTTTAAGGAAATATGATAGATTTGTATATTATCAGGGATCATTTTTTGTACAATAATTTGTGAAATTATCGTCATAATTAGGTATTTATAATGTAGTTTACTATTTCATGTGTTTAGGGAATAAAAATAAATTACCTTACCAGAAAA